TAACGCCAGGGCGCAACCTTATCTGGCTCAGCTGGAAGCTTGTCATCACCTTCTCTCTTGCACTTTGCATTTTCGCTCTTATTAGGCTTCATTCGTCTTCTCGGACCAACCTCGCCTCTGCCTCATTATCCCGTAGATTGCGCCCCCCTCCTGGTTCATTTTTGGGCCGCCCTAAGATTGCCTTCTTGTTTCTCACTCGTCGAAACCTCCCTCTTGATTTTCTTTGGGGAAGCTTCTTCCAGGTGTTTAAAAGATTCCACTATCGCTAAAACTATCTTCGATTAGGCATTGTCTTTGAGTTGGGAAAATAATTTGCAATTTTCTATTCCAGAATGGCGACGTTGCGAACTTCTCGATTTACATTCACTCGGCACCCGGATTTGTGTTCGATGAATCGACGACAAGGTCGCATTTCTTTTTTGGACGGCAATTGGAGAATAGCATTCAGGTAACATGATGTGTTCTTGTGAAATGAAGTTTTTATGTTTTTCCGTACCAGTGCTTACTATCAAACTGGAGAATAATGGAAAATAGATGCCTTTTGGCTTGTTCTTTACCCTTTTGTTCGTGTGTGTGCGTGTGGAATTACTTAGAAGTATGAGGGATGAAGTCTTCAAAGTGGGATGTTCCCGTTGTATTAAATTGAGGAGCGTAGTAGACTACTCTCCAATGTGTAGTAGCCTTAGTGCTCCAACAAGTCTAACCTTTATCAAGGTGAGAGAACAACTTATGTAAATACTTCACCCTAGCTAGTCAAAACTTGACAATGTCCTAGGACTATTGTTCTCGATAGGTAGATACTATAATCATGATGAAATTATCATTTACTCTCTGTTTTTAAATATTGGGGGTGAATTCATGTTGAGGCATGTAATGTTTTCGATAATTTTTCAAGTTTTGATTTTTGGTAATTGGTTGCATTGAAGTGACGTTATGTTGCAGGTGGACTGGGGAAAGTCGAGTATGATTGCTGCAGAGAGGTTGCTACTTGAAGCAGCTCTTGAGGACACTGCAAATCAGAGATTTGTTCTTCTATCGGACAGGTGTTTTGGGATCACCACTGCCACTTTCCGTTGCTCTCTGAACATTTTAATCTATGAAGTTGAGGTGTTTCACAACTTCCCTTAAGATTTGTCTTCTCATGCTGCAGTTGCGTTCCACTATACAACTTTAGCTATATATATAGCTATCTCATGGCTTCTCCCAGGAGTTTTGTGGACAGGTAGATGGAGGGCTTTGATTCTGAGGTGCCAAGCACTGATTCTTTGTTGGCGATTTGCTGCCAAAATTTAGATATTTGCCAAATTTTTATAGCTTCCAGAGTAAAATTTCTCTATATTGAAATATATATTCTCATTTTTTCTTGTAGCTTTCTTGATGCAAAGGAGGGTCGCTATAACCCAAAAATGTCACCTGCTATAACTAAGGGCAAATGGAGAAAAGGGTCCCAGGTCATCCATCAACAATAGTTTTTCTTGGATCTTTTGCTTCGTTTATTTTTTGGTTTCTTTTCTTAGTTATCCAAATTCAACCATGAGACATAGGATTTGTGTTGCAGTAGTCGGTATTTTCATCTTTAGCTGTTATGTTCTTTCACATACCCAAAGGAAAGAAGTATGCCTTATTTATTGCTTGATAAATTATTTTAGATGTACTAGGCAATATTGTTTCCGCTCTCGTGGGTGTAGATTTTTGTTAGTTGAATTTTAAACAATGGTGATGTGTGCAATTATATCTGCTTTGTGGTTAAATTGCAGTGGATCAGTTTGATTCGTAGTCACGCAGAAGTAATTGTGGATGATGATATTATATTCCCAGTCTTTGGATTATTCTGCAAGGTATGTCTTTTGCAGAAAATTCCTTCTTCATTTGCCAACTATGATCCAAGTGCAGTTAACTATTTCTTCTGTGTGGAGATACTATCATTCGTTCACACACTGACACACATTACACATGAACACAATATATTGGTCACATTTTCCCCAAATGTATCATCTTTAAATTGAATGGCAAAATGGAATCCACTTCCCTCGGACACATTCTTAAGATTTTTATGAAACAACATTCACTCTTTTTGGTATCGCTTATAAAGTTTATATTTATTCTAAACTACAGCGAAGGCCACCTGTGGATGCCAGCATAGGAAATATGAACATTGTAAGTGATCATTTGAGTATATGAAGAAATTCAGTTCAACAATATGAATGTTATTACGAAATAGTTTATTCATTATTCTGGATGTTATCTTCTAAGATTGTTGGTGCTGCTAGCAATATCAAATCTTTCCCACTGGAAATCAATCTTCCTTAATAAAAAATGCATCAATAACCTGGCCTAAATTCTGATTGTAGAAACTTCAAAAGCAGCACAACTGTATTCCAGATGAACACTATGTCCAGACATTGCTTGCTGTGAGTACATATTTGCCTTCTGAGGCCATGATATCTTTTCCTTCGCTATGGATTTCTCTCTCTCTTTCTCTCTCTCTCTTCATCTTGGGAGATGAGTTTATATAACCCTTTCCAGGCAGTTACTGTAAATTGTTGTCTGAAATAGTTTAGTTTACAGATAATTTACATTGTAACATTCTTTTTTTGTGTTTACTCTGTAGTTAAATGAACTTGAAGGTGAACTTGAACGAAGAACATTAACTTACACTCTATGGAATCAGTCAACCAATAATATGGAGAACAAGGGGTGGCATCCTATTACCTTTAACTATGCTGAGGCTGGACCTCGGCAGATCGAGGAAATAAAGGTTTAATTATATTGCATTGTTTCTCTTTTTGTCTTCGTGTTTGTGTTTGTTTATTTAAGAGGGTGGGAGGGTGGGCGGATAAATGTGGTATCTTGTGAAATTAAATGCTCTAGTATTTATTTAATGCAATCAAGCTTTTTTTTTTTTTTTTTTTTTTTTTTTTTTTTTTTTT